TGTTTAAAGGAAATTTTAACAGCGTATATTTGGCTGCCGTGAGAAAAATATATTTAGGAGTGTTTCGCGGAAAGGATGTACAGTCGAACGAGAAGTTTTACAACAACTTTTATTATCGACAGTGTCTCTCCTCTTTTCTCTCTTTTATTTTTCCTCTCTCATTGGCGTTATTTACCACTCGAAATACAGCAATAATTTACCCGCAATTACCGATTTGTTGGCAATATTTTCTTTTCTCTCCCTCTCTCTCTCTCTCTCTCTCTCTCTCTCCCCCCCCCCCCCTCTCTTCCTCTCTCTCATTTTTTCTTTTTCGTTATTTTCGATGAATATCTCGCCCATCCCTTTTTTAATTTCTCCTATCTTTTTCTTTCTTTTTTTGTCATCACCCCACCTCTTATTCTCGAACTCCCTCTCTCCCGCACGTCGTCTGACTCACTCGCTCGCTCTCTCTCTCTCTCTCTCTCTCTCTCTCTCTCTCTCTCTCTCTCTCTCGCTCTCTCTCTGTCTTTATTACTAGTGGACGAATTGAAAGTATACATTTGAGAATTAAATCGATAATGTGGGGTCGCGAGTCACGGTTGGTAATTATTATATCAGGGCTCGAGCGGTGAGCGTCATTTTTGTTATCGTAACTCGACTGAGTACATAATACACGTAAAGCGGTCTCTATTGTCTTTTTCTCGCAATAAGGAGACAACAAACTTCTGCAGTTTTTCGTCGCTTTTGTTCACTGTATAACGACTTAAAATATTCTCTCTGGCTTTTCGAATAAAGCGTGCTTTCCTGGCGAGCTATTTAGCGTCCATAGAAATTTCTGTTCCCTTCCTTTTCCACCTCCTCCCCCTCCTCCTCCTCCTTCTTCTCCTCCCCGCCTCCCCCCCCCCCCCGCTTTTTTTTCTTTTTTTCTTTTTTTTTTTTTTTTTTTTTTTTTTCTCTGTGTCGTTGTTACCGAAATGGGAAATATAAATTGCAAAAAAATGCTACTGGCAGATGCAATAATAATCAGTGCGCCAACGAAAATTCCCATCCCCCTGCGACCTATACTCGAGCGTCTATGACGTAATAAAATTATATATTTATACGACGCGAAGCTATTTGGAGTATGATAAGTGAGGCACGGTGAAATGATGTTATTATGCAACATTGAATACTTATCTTATAAACTAAGTAATGCTTTGCGATAATGTTAATGGTGGGCTCACGCAGCTTATATAAATAAGCGAATATTAACGTGGTAATATTAATAATAAGTTTTTTAAATTTTAATCGGACACACTTCGCGTATAAATTATATTTAAATGATTTACGGATAATTAAATATTCAAATTTGGTAATTAAATTTAAATAAACAATCGATGGAAAACAATTTAATAATTTAATTAAATTTAACTCGGAGCTTATTTCAAACCGAATTTAATAACTGGCAAAAGCAAATTTGATAAACAATGTATTGTCGGTTCTATTTAATAATTCCGTGCGTCGGTTTAAATAATACGTGAATCGCGATTAAAATAATGCTCCGTCCTTGCGGCAAACAAACACGTATATACGTATATTTCTGCTTTTTCTGTTCGCGAATCAAGAGTCGTAAAAAATAACAAAACATTTATTTTAGCCTGGCCGTAATTTCCACGAGACTCGTTTTATATCGAACGTCGTTTCAATTCGCGCATCAAATACAAACGCGTTATCTTTCTGCGATTTTTCGCTCGAAGGCACAACTATTCGCGAATTACATTAAAATTGTTTCCAACGAAAGGTCTATTTTTGCATCGGGGAAAATTGCGTCATGCCCTGACGTTGCACTATTTACGTTTAAGGATTTCAATATTACACAAACGTATGACATCTCTAAAGAGATTAAACTCGGAATTTAGTACGCCAGCCGTAATTCACGTCGTCGATAACTTTGCACAGCCTTTGTACAGGCCCGTACAACAAAAACGCTTCTCACGGCAATCATTTTCTCTCGGGATTTATGTAATATAATATTCGCTCCTCGTTGTTCTCGATTCTCTATTCGCGAACGTGCTACGAATCTACCGCAAATATAGCACCGATAAAAATACTGGCTGTGCTTGTAAGATAATTATCTCGTGATTCACCCACAGTTCTTCTCTCTCTTTATTTTTTTTTCTTTTTCTCCTTCTTACAGATCGTTAATAAATTTCGTACTTGGTTCTAGCAATTCTCTCCCTACCCCTTCGCCCCCCCCCCTCTCTCTCTCTCTCGTTCTTTCTCGCTTCATCTTTTTCCCTTCCCCTCCTTCCCTGTATCGGAATTACGTTCGAATTCATCGTGCATGTTGTTCTTTGTAGTTCGCTCTATAATTTTACCTCGCACGGAAAACCGTGAATTCCTGTTTTACATTTGTAATTATAACTCGTTTCACAGTACACGTTCGCACACGCGTACACTCGAGCTCGATACGTACAATAACATTAGGGAACTATTCGCGAAGCCGGAGCACGTACAATTTCTTATCTTATTATTTCCACGTATATGTATTTTTTCTTTCATTAATTTACTCGGTAATCGGCCGTGCATAGACGTGGTCGCATACTCCTGCTGTTTACAAGCTTCTCTTTCTCTCGATTCGCGCGTATCTCTTGGTGCGAGCCCGTGTGGGTACGCGTGACACGGTGCGCGCGGGCGCACGCACACGTACAGCACGGGCCAAATTCAACGAACCGAGCGGGACAGGTGCTTCACTGACAATAGTGGTGCGCGCCTTTGAAAATGTACTTCAAATAATGATCGCGACGCTAAGCGCACTTCCAGTTATCGCGTAAAGCTACCGCGCACGACACACACCGCAAAAACCAGTCGCCAGATAAATTTTACGATCTTTCAGCGGCAAAGGAAATTAGCCGATAATTCATCCGCGTTGGCGCGCGCGCGCGCGAGCGCACTCGCGATCTTGTTCGCCAGAATTCAATTGGCGATTCATAATTAAAATTTGTGTACACGCGACCGGGCATATTTATTCGCGCTCACATGCGCGTGCCGAGTGCGTGTATCGATCTTTGCGCGTTCGGCCGAACCAAATATTCATAATCCGTGAAAAATGAATTTAGGTTAGTCTACGCCGTTCTCGTTTAATACGGTGTACTAAAAAGCGTTATCGATCGATTAAGTCGTTAATCGTTCGCACTTGTCTCTTTCTTTCCTTTTCTCTTTCTCTTTTCTTTTTGCTTTCTATTTTTTCCTTTTCTTTCTTTTTCTTTCTTTCCTCGATTAAATTTCTTGCCAAGGTCGACTGCCGGTTACTTTCTTTCTTTCTTTTTCTTCGCGTCACGCGAGATAACATACTTGGCGGGTTTTTCGAAAAGATAATGGCCGCGGTGGAAGAAGCGTGGTAGGCGAAAATATTCGTCTAAATCTTGCTGGCTGATTCGGTGTGGTTCGTTTCTTACTACTACCACCCTCGTACAACCCCTCGGAACCACCCCCACCGCCGCTCGTTCCCGCTCTTTCCTGCTAACGACATTAAAGGAAAGTACCCCGTTGCTGCTTTAATGGAATTTACTTTTGTAGCTTCGCAGAGCTCACCATACTTTACAGAGTAAATTGCACCGCGAGGGTGGATCTCGAAAAACAAGTGTCTCGATTTGACACGAACAATAGCACGCTCTACGTGACGTTATTTCGCCAACAGCGAATCAAAGGACACATTCATACGCGTATTTTTCATTATCAATGGAACGGAAATTTTCCATTATCGAATTTTTCGGGAAAGCTGCGACGCGTATAGGCGACACGATGGACAGGTCGGTCGTTGTTGCGATTTTGCTAAATCGTTACATTGTAGTTGGATTTGTTTGATCGCGTGCAATACGTACTCGCCGAAATAAAATGTGATAAGAAACTGTTGTACGATCGAGATAACGCGATGAACGAGGAAACGGTTGTTAAATGCAACGATACGGCGTTAGTGTTCGTTTAGAAAAATTCTACGAGCGATAATAACAGCGTTATCTATCGCGTGGAAAGCCGTCGAGTCGAAATAAGTT